ATCCGGTTGACCCCACGAAATATCTACCTTTCCCACATGGTCGAATCCGAAGTGTGGCCGCATGCACGGCTAGAAAGTCGAAATCTAAACGTCGTGGTTTTGGAGCCTAGCCCCCCAAACAACCTAATTCGACACCAGCGATGTCGCGGGGTGGAGATGGCACACGAAGTGGCGGAGTATGAGAACGGTCCGTTCGTTGGGGCCGCCTCCGCATCGACGACGCCGTCGACATGGCTAAAAACGACCTATTTGCTTTCTATCAATAGTATCAATAATACCCGCAACATCATTTCACTTTGCTTTTTGAATATTGAATGGATTCATAGCCGAATGGCCATAGTATTTAAAGCCAAAGGTAACCTTATTCAAAAAGCAAAATGAATTGTTGATGGGGGTTTTGAACTTTTGATTGACCGATGTTGATCGCGCTTACTGGTGATGGGAGAGACGCCAGAGCCCCTCTACTTCCGGGGCGTGGTTTAGGGGAGTGGCGTGCACAGCCACGCACAAAAATGCCGTTTTTTGTTTTTGATTTGATAAAATTGGGGACAGTGGAAAAGGAACAGTGGGAGTTTATTCAGATTCTCTATCGCATGATTTGGTGTGGAATCGTTTTCCCGATGGCTCAAAAAGGACACGCCAGGTAAGAAGATATCGAGTACAATATCGTTGCCAACCCTCTTCTTTCACCTACCCGACGGAGAGCCGCTACCTGGTCGATGGGGCGTTGGCGGAACTCCACGGTCGGCCTCGATGTCCGGTGACGCCGGGGCAGACATCATATCTGCATCGTCATCGTCCGAATACGGGCATTGGTATGACCGGTCAGCTAACAAGGGAAGTGCAACTAGCGGGTACCAGCACATCGCTTTGCAAAAATATGGGTCTGGTATAGTCGACGACGGGGATTCCGAATATCTTGTTAGAATTTGCAAAACGTTTAAAATTGCAAACGAACGTGAAAGTTTTTCCGTGATTTTCTCGCCCTGCCTTATGAGGCCCTTCCAAAACACCGGGACCACCTATCGGGTGGTATAGTGACTAAAGGGAAGGGCAAGTGCACTAACTGGAAATTCGCAAAACGCTCGCGGCTACCCCCAGGTTGTCGATTGCGGGCAACACGATGGTGTTAGCAGAATTTAATTTACTACCGAGGCCTGTAGAACGAGATACGGTGCATCCCGAAAGGGTAATTGGTATACACGAAATCAGCATGTTTTAGATATATATATATTTAGATCAGCATGTATACATCCTTGGGGTTCTTTTTTAGAAACTTTTTATATTCATCGTTTTGCAAATTCTGACAAGAGATTCGGAATCCCCGTCGTCGACTCCATCAGACCAGTAGTTTTGCTAAGCTATTTTCTGGGACCTCTAGTTGCACTTCCCAGTAAGAGAATTCACGAGCTTTGCCTCACAGAATTCACCAGAATTGGCTGTAGATGACAAGCTTCCGGGTTCACGAATCGGTGAAAGCTCGGTTGCGTCGTCTTCTACCACGATCGCATTGATTGAATGCTCCTCCTCTCCTGCTCCTGACTCCTCGAAGGCCGGTGAGTCGGGGGAAGCAGCTGCACAAATTTTCAGATTATCATTCACACGTCGTACCTGAGAAGGTGACCGGCGAAAAGGAGTCCGGGCTGTAGATGGATGATCGCTCGTCTTCCTGGGGATAACCTTCTAAAAACAGACGCTGAACGTAAAGTGAACGTCTCAATGGGTTTGCCTGTCCAGAAACCCAACATTCGTACCCTACACAAAATTTGAGACAGTCAAATTCACTCACCTTCGTGGAGGTCGACCTCCATATCAGGATCCTCATCTTCACCGCGGAAAGGCCTCATTGCTAAAGGTTTAATATACACACCACAAAAACAGACAGCGGAGAACCGGCGGCATTAGGAGGCAATAATTCTAGCGCCCAAAAAGTTGAAGCGATTTCTGTAATTGCCGCGAATCAGGCTGCAGGCTTTAGATGAAAAATTGAAATTGAAAAGATGAAAAAAAAAAAAAAAAAAAAGTCACCCAAAATATTTCGGCAACGCCCTCCACCCCTCCCCTCCAGGCCTAGAACTTTTGCGGCCGGACGTTTATGTCAAGGGGAAAGATTTGGCATACTAACAAGGAGTGCCCTTTTGGTGTCATCGGCAAGGATTGTTGAGACATAGCCTATTCGATAGAGAATTGAATTCTGAACAAGCCACCGATGTTCATTTTTGCAGAATGACCGTCTCGGATTTTATAAAATGAAAAACGGCACTCGAAAGCGTCTCATGTCGCTCGAAGGGCACTCATGGTAACAGAATCCACTAGTTTTTAGTTTATAAAAACAGAGACAGCGATTCCGCAAAAATGAACATCGGTAGCTCGTTCAAAATCGAATTCTCTATCGAATAAGCTAGGTCGCGAATGGTCTTGCCGACACTAAAAGGGCTCTCCTTGTAAGTACAAAACAAAAAAACAACTACTGACTATGAGGAGGGCCGTAACAAACTCAAATTTCGGGGGGCGACCCCAAACATTTTTTACTAATATGACTAAAACTACAGCGCCGCAGGCAAAATTTTTGAAAAAATAGGGTTTATAACACTAGAATTAATTAGTTACGCCGCAGGCAAAAAATTTTTCGGAAAAATTAAATCACAAGGGTCCCCCCTTATGAACTTTTCGGCCTTCGGCGGATTTCGGGGGATTTTCAAATTTCCCAAATTTTCGGTATTTTGAAAGCGCCAATCAAAAAGCGTCGAAAATGTTTTTAGGAGAATTAATTTCAGCCTGAAATAATGTAAATGAAATTTTTGATCGAATAAACAAAAATTGAGGAAAATTCATGGGCAGCACATAGGATAACAAGGGGAGAAGTCAAATTTTTGAGATCTACCATTTTTTTGAAAACGCCAATCAATAGAACGTCAAAAAAAATACAATATTGGATTTACCGCGCAAAAAAAATGTGTTATAAAAGCTTTATAGCCTAAAGCTACTTTTGAAAACGATGGGCAGCACAGAAGATAACGGGGGGGGGATATATTTTCGGCGTTTTGAATATTTTCGATATTTTGAAAATGCCATTCGATAGAGGGCCGAAATATATACTAGGAGGTTTTTTATAGCCCGCAAAACTTTATTTTAAAAGATTTTTATGATAAAAAAACTTTGAATGTTCCGCCCCCTCCCCCGTTATTTCCTCCCGTTACCCTATGTGTACCATGATTTTTTCGTGAATTTTTGAGAGCCCTCAAAATAATCGAGAAATTTCGCCAAAAATGTCAAAGAAAACCTTGGGTATAGCTGGTACACCATCTCAGCCTGCCAAAAATTGCCGTATTTGAATGATTTTATGGCGGTGAGGCGGCACTCGAACAGCATTCCCAAATAAGGCCCCCCAATCGAATACAAAAAGGCTGTAAGCGCTCGGAATGTTAAACGCTAATATTTAAGCACCCCGTATGCATTTTTCCGCTTTGTCAAGTGCCCTGGCTTAATAGTCGGGCTTGGCAAACGACAAATTTATAGGCCTTCAGTTTAGGCGACAGGATCCCAAGACTGAATCTTTGAAGATGGCTTTTTTGCGTGCTTTGATGGCCAAACAGGCGAGGAGCGTTCAGATTTCCAGGATTTTGATTCCAGATTTGAGAGCCCTGGCTGGCCCGTCAAATTTGGTGGGGGAGCGCGAGTGTGAATTTCGAGCGAGGGTCAAGTTCCGACTTTGGCTTCGTTTTTTTATCGATGGCGGACGGAGCTGTTTTGCTTTATGCTTTGTTTTTGTTGCAGGAAACGCCCAATTAATCAAGGTTAATGTAAAACCGTGTTCGTGAAAGAACTATCTCCGCAAAAAATTGGAATTTTACCGTTATATGGATTTTTACGCCTGCAAAATCGATAATTTTCCGATTTTTCCACAAAAACGTAATCTTTCTACGCTTTGATTGGTCAAACTAGCTTTGAAATATCTACGCTAATATTAGATAAATTAAATGCCAAAGTCCACCCGCGTGCCGTAAAAAACCAAGGAGCAAAACCTGACACCCGGCGGGGGCCGAATCTGAGTCTATTTCTTTACCAGATGGTTAAAGTCGCTTCGCGACTGTAACCATCTGGCCTTCGGCCTACCCTACATGTCCTACACCACACCATTCCAACTACAACATCAATACCCACGCTAACGGCTTCAGATATCCCCCCCCCCCCCCTCCATAGCTGAAACGCCCTTAAAAACTACCTAAATACTTTCCGGATGGCTTCAGATACCCCCACCCCCCATAACCGAAATCCCCTTAAAAACTACTTTGATACCTTCATGATGGATTAAGATACCTCCGCTAGGCAAATCCCCTTAAAAATAAAGATAACGACCGACCGGATACATGGGAGAAATAAAAGAAATGCAACGGCTCCCGTGAAAATTTTCATCCACGAAACGCGCGCGACCTGGCTCACTATGTCCAAAATCACCCCAACCTCCTTCCCCCAACCCTTTTATCAGAAAAAGCTTCCAAAGTTAATTTTAATAATTTAAACTAAAAGTTTTTCATAATTTTTTATCATTTTGGGGGTTTCTGACGGCGCTCTATCCGAATCCGAAGAGAGCTAAGCTCTAGCTCTTTTTCCCTCCGAGTTGAATTCGGCTTCAGACCGACGGACGCGTCAAGAAAATTATTATAGTTGATACCGAGTTAAGCTAAAAACTGGCAAATTCTGGTAAGGTGGTATAGGCAACATAAATAGCTACTTGCGAGCGAAAAACAATGCTAAATTGCATACAATTTCCTCTCAAAAATTTCCGCTTGGGTTTCTCGCGACAGCAAGTTGCAGACTGGACAAAAGGCCAGGGCAAACGATTGGGGCCACGCCTGAATTGATGAGTCGCTAAAAGATCCAAAGGAAACCCCGAAACCCACCGGATAGGTCCAGAATATCTTAAAGGGCGTGGCTTTCTACTTACTCGCCACAACCACGGTAGCAGTCAGTCGACAATTACTTTTGCAATAGCTAAAATGCCGGCCGGATCGATCACCATTACGATAGTATCGAACACCCAAGATGGAGGCCAAGAAATTCGTATCAACATCGAGGCTCCGTAGGTTTAACGATATTTCCTCCTCCAATCTCTGCTAGCCTGCCCTCCTCTCGGGGTCCGTCCATTTCCTCCTCCAATCTCTGCTAGCCTGCCCTCCTCTCGGGGTCCGTCCATTTCCTCCTCCAATCTCTGCTAGCCTGCCCTCCTCTCGGGGTCCGTCCATTTCCTCCTCCAATCTCTGCTAGCCTGCCCTCCTCTCGGGGTCCGTCCATTTCCTCCCTCCAATCTCTGCTAGCCTGCCCTCCTCTCGGGGTCCGTCCATTTCCTCCTCCAATCTCTGCTAGCCTGCCCTCCTCTCGGGGTCCGTCCATTTCCTCCTCCAATCTCTGCTAGCCTGCCCTCCTCTCGGGGTCCGTCCATTTCCTCCTCCAATCTCTGCTAGCCTGCCCTCCTCTCGGGGTCCGTCCATTTCCTCCTCCAATCTCTGCTAGCCTGCCCTCCTCTCGGGGTCCGTCCATTTCCTCCTCCAATCTCTGCTAGCCTGCCCTCCTCTCGGGGTCCGTCCATTTCCTCCTCCAATCTCTGCTAGCCTGCCCTCCTCTCGGGGGTCCGTCCATTTCCTCCTCCAATCTCTGCTAGCCTGCCCTCCTCTCGGGGTCCGTCCATTTCCTCCTCCAATCTCTGCTAGCCTGCCCTCCTCTCGGGGTCCGTCCATTTCCTCCTCCAATCTCTGCTAGCCTGCCCTCCTCTCGGGGTCCGTCCATTTCCTCCTCCAATCTCTGCTAGCCTGCCCCCTCTCGGGGTCCGTCCATTTCCTCCTCCATCCTGCTAGCCTGCCCTCCTCTCGGGGTCCGTCCATTTCCTCCTCCAATCTCTGCTAGCCTGCCCTCCTCTCGGGGTCCGTCCATTTCCTCCTCCAATCTCTGCTAGCCTGCCCTCCTCTCGGGGTCCGTCCATTTCCTCCTCCAATCTCTGCTAGCCTGCCCTCCTCTCGGGGTCCGTCCATTTCCTCCTCCAATCTCTGCTAGCCTGCCCTCCTCTCGGGGTCCGTCCATTTCCTCAAACAATCTCTGCTAGCATCCGGGGATCCATTATTTCCTCAAAAAAGTATGCTAGTCCTAGCCTGACTGCCTCCACCTATCCTCCGCCTTCGCCGGTACCGATCATCCCGCCAAATCCGCCACAAGAAGCGCAATTCGGATACTATCACACCCTGTAAGGTTTTGAATACAGTGCGAGCAAAATTGCAGAATTCTATTGTTATTGTTTATTCTATTATTCTAGGCAATAATCATTTCAGAACTGCACCATCTCTTCCCATCCAACATTTTGACCACACCAACAGTTCGCCGTAAGTTTCGTAAAATTCTAAAATTGTTTCTGCGATTTAATGCAGATAGAAAATATTAGAAAAGGCGAAAATAGGCCGACGCAATGCTACATTTGAGACGTTTTACCCGACATGGCAAAACGGCCGCCGCCTTGTAGAGCCAAAAAAAGGCTTTTTCTAATCGTATCAAGTTCGAATTTCCGTTCCAACCCAATATTTTGAACATAATAATTTACCGTGGCAATTGACAAGTGCTCGCTCGGCCGGGAATCATAAGAAAATATACCCAGAGAATTACGTTTAGCCCGAAAAAGAATAGATTTATCATTGGAAAATCACCGTTTCTGGGTTGTGTGGAAAACGTGATTTTCGACTTTTCATAGCCCCGAAACATGGTTTCTCGTTCTCTGTCTAGTATCGAAAAGAAACTATCGGCTCCCCAAAAGTTTCTGTAGCCATTTCCGAAAAACAACTTTTTTTGCTGAAATGGTAGTTGAGACTCGCTCAAAAGTCTATCTAAAAACGTTTTTTGTTCGAAAAAAATGCCAACAAATTTAGAGCTACTATCTCCAGCACGGGCTGTGTTCCAACTGCGGAAATTGGAACGTAAGTGAATAGATGACTAAACCATTATTTGCCTATGTCTATTGAGAATCCATTTTTTCGCTGTTCAAACATATTCAAGCGATCTGCAAATTTACGAATTTAAAAGAAGCCCAGTGGTGACCGAGTAACGGCTTTTCACCCCTGGCCACGCCTCGGACAGACGCCAGTCTCCAATTTAAATATTTCTTCCAGAATCCCGTTCCCAAAAATGAAAAGATCCCCCATCTGCCCCTTTATATAGTCCCTCATGACTTCCGGCGTATGCTAATTGTTACCTAACAAAGCGGAAGACCGAGATTTTCACAAAAAGCAATCTTAATATCAGAAATTGCACGTTTGGATAAGCTGATATGTGCACACTTGGTTCGAGAACATTACACACCTAATCACGTAACTAGAATTGGAAACCCCCGGCGGAGCTAAAAACACCCCCAAAAAACTCCTCCGAGGACCGGGGGGGTGTCCAACTCTAGACGTTCCATTAGCCTCCAGCAAGACGTTTTTTACTCCATTCGAAAGCCCATCGAAAAGGCGAAAAGACCCAATGAATTTCGTGTTCCCACATTTTCTATGCCCGCGCGATACGAAACATCTTTTTAAAAACGTCTAGCCTGAATTGAAGTACTATAAAATGTTGCATAGAACAGCGGTTTTCACGCTATCATACCATACAGATTTAGGTGGATATTTGCCTGAATTTTCGCAGGTGCTGTTCCGCAGATTCAGCTATTTTTGTTAATGAATTTACTTTCCAGTGAAAATCTCGGTCACCCGCCCTTCCCCTTTCCGCGCGGCCGGCGGAAGTACAGGTCGCAAATAAAGGGGTATCAGCATTTAACAAAGCCGTTTTTCAACCCTAATAGGAAACATAATTAAAGGGCCAGTTCAGCCAATAAAACAAAAGAATTTCCGCAGCCAAGAGTCGAACCCTCTCTGCGTTTTTGTGTCTGCGCCTCTCTCTTTTCCCCGCTATCTCATAGCTATCGTAATGAGGGACTGTTCATGCGCGGTATCGCCACGTCCATAGTTTCTCAAGTTACCAGCCCAAGCTCTAAAAGTTGAACTAGCCCTTTAAAGCCCGAGACCCAGAAAAGTAAAATTTCCGGTCATTTTCTGGCCTTTTCGGCGGCTGGAAAGATAGCTAACAATAAGAATAGGGAACAAAATAGCATTCAGCTCTGGCCCGCTCTAACAAGGGAACCTCTCAAAGTCTCCTCGGGATTTCAAAATGGGACCTAGCACATCTCTTGCAGAATGTTTTGCTGATCCCTAATCTGTTTTCAAAAACTGCGAAATGGCTCCGATTCAAAAGTTATAACGTTTTGAAGTCCATTTGAGCAGAAATTGGCAAACTTCATGTTCGATTATTTTGATGTTTCTGTATGATTTTAAAAAAGAATATTGCCATTTATTCCGAATTTCTTTCTCTATCGAATGATTAACCCAAAATTGTCGAAAATCGAAAAAATCGACGACGGCGTACACATTTTGTATGGGACTTCGCGAACAACTGGGTATTTCGCGCACTGGTAAACTGCGGCTAAGAAGCAGCCATGTTTTAATGAAATATGCCCATTCGAATCAGATAGACTATTTGTGGTAAATTAAAAGAGTCAAACAAAAAAGGACGGGATCATGGCCAAACACTTCCCGGGGGCCAAAAACGGCACTTTAATGATTCATAACTTTTGATTCCGAGCTATTTCGCAGTTTTTGAAAACAGAGCAAGTTTTGAAAGCAGTGAAAAATCAGCAAAACATTCTGAACAAGATAGGCTAGGTGCCAAATCGAAATCCCACCTTGACTTTAGAAGGTTCCCTCGTAAAGGGGGGGTGGCGCTTCATGAACAGCTTAAGAAAAAACATTTCCAGAGAGTTTTATGATACCGTAAGCAATTTCGGAACAATATCCCTGCCCCAAGACAATTGATATCGTAGCCCGGCCGCTTTTCGTTTCCAAAAAGCCAGCTTTTTTTCCATTTTCAGCGATCACTTCGACGTAAGCCACGTGACACACGAGTATGTGCTTATTTTTGTAAAGACAACAAAAAGTTGAGGCAAAAGGTATTCCCCTGGGTCGGTGCTATGAAGACTACTCCCCGCGCCGGTCGATCGGGCTCCGCCGCCCAGGCACTTCCACCCCGAATGGCTGCTAAAAAGGCGAAAAAGTGGGCTTTGCAATTTACCGCTTTATCCAAGACTATCAAGGCCTATTATTGTTAGGTGATTTTGCACTGAAATCTCAAGGAAACGTTTTTGAGTGTCGTCCCGACTTTGGGATCGGGCCAAGCTTAGTTTCTCAAGAACTTTCCGCTGATTCCCATTCCCTTTTTTGTGGGGTAGCCATTCCTCGAAAACGATTTAAAGGGCTAGTTCAGCGAATAAAGTAAAAGAATTTCAGCGGCCAGGAGTCGAACCCTCTCTGCGTTTTTGTGTCTGCGCCTCTCTAATTTCCCCGCTATCTAATATCTGTCGTAATGAGGGATGGTTCAGGCGCGGTATGGCTACGTACATAGTTTCCCAAGGTACCAGCCCAAGCTCTAAAAGTTGAACTAGCCCTTTAAGGTAGAAAAAGCCACAAATCAGCAACTTTTGATGGACAGAAAAAGCTTTGGGATAGGGGTTCTTTCAAATTCGCGGGGGGTAATCCCGGGGGGGCTAATTTCTTCCTGGCGATCCCGGTTGACCTAGTAATCAAATATAAAGAGTTCTCAAATTGTTTTTAGTAAGTTTTAGCTATCTTTAAAGTAGAAAAACTTTTAAAAAACGTTAGAAAGTTAGAAAAGCGTCATTTAAAAGACTCCTAAATTACCGCGACCAGCTCTGGCCGGAAGACTGTCCCAAACATTGTTCGTGCCTCGTGTAATTGACCTGCTCAGCGCTCCACGTTTATTGGAGGTGTTTGGAAGAGTTAAAAAAAAAGAAATTTAGGCCACGAGGAACTGCGAGGAAAAGCACAATCAAAGAATGAAAAAGGCAACAGGAAGACATATATGACAACACAATGTCATAATCTACAATCATTTCACCTTGTTAACGCGACTGAATAAAATATTCTTTCCGGGTCGAAAGCAACTGCCTGCCATGGATTTACTTCACAATTCCGGGTGTTCTCGCTCCAATCTGTCGGTTATTTTCATGAAAAATCTCTCAAAATTGAGACGGGGGGTGGGGCTGAAGCATTGCAAAACAAATTTCGTTGCAACAAAACTTGAAACTTTTGCAGCAAACTGAATTTAGCGCAAAATCGGTCAGTCTATCGCGGGATCGCGGTGTCCTGGATGACATCTCATCTATCGAGCCTGCTGATTAAACTTTGGTAATTATTCAACCGGTTAGAATGACTTAAATAGTCTGAATATTCCGGAAAAGCCTTCACAATTTCTAAATTTTCGCGCCTTCACGTCCAAAAAATACCTTAGAGAAAAACTTTCAAACAAAATACATACAATAAATGACCATGGGTCCGGAAAAATTGACACGACCAGCGACCAGTACCACCACCATTAAAAACCAGATGGTTCCAGTCGCTTCGCGACTGGAACGATCTGGGCTACCCTTCATGTAATACACCATCGCATCCATCCCTACCTCCATCAATACCCACGCTAATGGCTACGGATGCCGCCATAGCCGCGACGCCCTAAAGCTACTAAGATACCTTCCTGATCGCTGCGATACCCTTAGGGATACGGTGCCCGCCGTATCATAGCCCTATTTTATAAGGTTAATTTTAATAACGTGAACAATGTCGAAAGTAATAGTCTCCCTACGCCAAATCCTCTACTATAATAGATCCTGGAGGAGGGCTCGGGTTGCCACACTAATACTTAAGACTGTGCCCCTTGGGCCCCGCTCGGACAACCCTGCATCCGGTAGAACACGGACCGGGAGATGGCAAGAGATCCCAAGAAGCTAGACAAGAAGTCACACAATGTTCAGTGGTAGTTTCTACAATCGTGTATTAGAATCCAGTGCATTTCGGTATAGAGAACACAAGATATAAACATAAAGTTTATCGGCAGTATAAACCATTAGAATACAAATACACTCATCGTTGTATAAAAGGGACAGGTTAAAGTGTTGGTCTTACTCGCTGGGCTTAGGCAAAAGCTGCTGGGCGTAAAGCAAAAGATAGCTGGGCTTTTGCTATCGCAATACCAACACAGACCTGGTCGTAAACCCTAATAAAATCCGTCAGTTCGTCAGGTCGATAAATACGAAAGCTGCTCCGCCCCTCTCCGGGGGAGGGGGCGCCGCGCTACGGTAACGTACACCTTTTAGCAAACCATCGAACGTTGCAGCATAATGCTGGCAACTTTCGACACTGCCGCCCCAACTCAGCGACTGAGTGGGGCACCACTGAACTGAGGAAGGTATGAGTCGAACCCTTCGACTCAGCGACCGACCGCGGACTTCGGTAAACACACTGGCCCAAAGACGGACGCAATGGCTACATCAGACATGGCGGGAGGGTCTAGTGGACTTGAAAGCAGTAATCGATTTCGGGGTATGATTAAGTGAGAACGCGTAGTGGAAAGGCCTTCCGGCCCGAGCAAAAAAAGGAATTTTAAGAGAATTTCGAAAGGAATGGTGAGTTAGACCTTACAACCAAGTAGGGACGTGGAAAACCGTGTGCAACACGGTGTGGGGGGGAGAACAACGGATGAGGGTACAGGTAAACACAAAAGCATATACAACCTGATAAAAGTGGTGGATGCTGTCAGCTTGGTATATTGTTGAACATGTGGTTGTGGCCATGGTAGTGTTGAGCAGCATGGGTATCCGCGACAGGAAATTTGACTTTCCACGAAGCTTCATTTACCAAGTTGTTGGGCGTTGTTCTGGGCTTAGGTGAAACCTGGGCGTAAGGGAAACTGGGCTTCTAAAAGTCTGGGCTTCTAGGAAACTGGACTTCTGAAAAACTGGACTTTTGAAAAACTGGACGTCTGAAAAAACTGGGCTTTTGAAAACCTGGACGTCTGAAAAACTGGACTTTTGAAAAAATCTGGTCGTTTTGGAAAAGTCTGGACGTCTGAGAAAACTGGGCTTTTGAAAACTGGACTTTGTAGAAAGTTAATCCAACCAATTATTCTCCGAAACCTCTGGGTCCGTTTCACCATAAGCAGTATCTTGCTGTAGGGCGAGCTTGGCCAAAAGTTCGGTTGGTGGTTTTGCTGGGCATAGTTTTTTGAGAACCTGGGCATCGACTTTCAGGGTGTTCTCCGCGACCATGATAAGGCACGAAACGGCTCTCACCATAATGCGCCCTGAAGCGAAAAGTCGAAGTTTGACGTTGCGTATTGCTCCGTCTTTACCTTCGAGAAGTTCCGTAATTTGGCCAAGCGGATAATTGCCACGTTTGCCGTGAGGCTCAACAACAGCAACAACATGACCAAGTTTCGGAACTTTGCTGGGCATACCGGGCTTCGACGCCGATCTGTACTTGTTTTTGTCACGAACTTGTGGCAAATAGTACAGGTCGTAATCTCGCCACAACTTATCAAGCTGTTTCTGATACCTGTTCATCCATTCACCGACGGCTTCATCGGTTGGATTGACCTTCAGCTGGAATTCAGGATCTTCTTGCGCTTCAGGGTCGTAGAACGGAGGTGCCGTCCGGAGGCCGGGGTGAACAAAATCCATTGGTCGTAGCGACACAACTTCATTGTCGCACTCCAGGAAGACGAGCGGGCGGTTGTTGGTGCTGGCCTCGATGTCGACAAGCAAGGTAGAAAAGTCAGCAGCATCAAATCTGTGACTTTCCGCCACAGAATCGAGTTTGCGCTTGATGACCTGGATCATTCGCTCGGCATGACCGGATTGCCAAGGTGCCGCAGGGGCATTGAAGATCCACTGAATTCCGTGCTGGGCGAAAAAATCAGAAAGTTCCTGATTTGCTGGGCTTGCTGGGCTTTCAGGTTCAGAACCTGTATCACTTTGCTCCCCCTGCCTCTGATGTAGCGAGGTCAGAATCGCATCGGCCTTGCGGAAATTGGTACCGTTATCGCTCCACATCTTGTGGGGATAGCCTCTGCGACCTGTGAACCTGCGCAGACATCGAAGGAATTCGGTGGTGCTAGTGGACTGGGCGACTTCCAGGTGGACCAGCCGGGTAGTGAGACATTCGAACAAGCATACGTGAACCGTATGTGTTTCGTTTTGCTCTCCTTTTAGAGTAAAAGGCCCGGCCAAATCGACACCTGAAAATTGGAAAGGAATACATCTGGACGTTCGCTCTCGAGGAAGCGGTGGAACATCTGGGCTTTTATACGGACGGCCATTCCGTATGTTACACTCGATGCAACTAAATTTTCCTCCAACTGTTCCGATTAGATGAAAACGTTGCATGAGTCTGGCTCTTGCTTCCACTCTACCCAAGTGGATGCCATTCTCCACATGGGCTTGTTTGTACAACAGATCGGCCAGTGGTGAGCGACCATACAAGAGCGGCTCACCTTCTGTAGAGCTGGGCATATTTGTAACACGATTCCGCAGTCGCAAGATACCGAAGGGATCCTTCTGTACGAACCTTTGGGATTGTTTGCCGATTCGCTCAGCGTAATCCTCTTGTTGACAGAAAATCAGATAGTTTTGAGCAACTATCTTCTTCTGGTGTTCGTTCTCGCAAGACTGGGAAGCGATTGCAAAGATTTCAGCACCGGGGTAACCCGGATTTGCCAAAAGAGCGCTGGACGTGTAGGACAGAAGCGAATCGATATCGAGAAAAGACGAAACTTCAACCGGTAGGACCGGCTGCTCGAGTTTCTTTTCGCTCTGTGGCTGGGCATTTGTTTTTGCTGGGCCAGTTTGCTTCGAAGTGCTGCCTTTCGGGCGACCGCGCCGTTTCGGCGCCACCTTATCGGGGGCATCGTCAGCTGAGGGTTCGTCCCGATCGGTGGCATCTTCGTCTGAAGCGTTTGCTGGGCGTTCTGGGCCTTTGCCTTCTCGATTCCTACCGAGAGGCCTTGCTGGACGTTTTTCACGTGGCGGTTGAGCCATGTTTACTAATACCGTCGCCATTTCCTTAGGTTCAGAAACTGGGCGGGTCCGGTAAACAATAATCTCCCGCGGCCAGTCTGGTTTTGGCTTCGCCAAGAAAGCTGGGCCGGTAAACCATCCTCGCTCTACCGCCTCTGTCATAGACACAGCTTTAGTGCCCATGTCAGCTGGGTTGAGCGTGCCGGGCACGTGATGAATAGCAACTGGGCATCTGGCCATAAGCCGGTGGTAACCGCTGAGAAACTTACCGACCTGATTCTTGACGAAGACGGGCATCTGCTTGGCTTTTGATGTGATTTGGCCAATAGCGATCGTCGAATCCGCGTAGAAGTTGATTGCCGCCACAGTCAAGCACGGGCGTAGTTCCTCCACAACGTATTCCACAAGATCCATCGCCATCTTCATCCCAAGCAGCTCCGCCTTTGGTACGGTAATTCGTTTCTGAATTGGGTTAAGTCTGGACTTTGTGGTGAGAAGTTCGGCTTGGAGGCCCTGGTCTTCTTCATGTGCAGATTGCAAATAGATTGCAACGCACATGGCATCCTCTGATGCATCAGAAAATACGTGGACGGTGGTACGCGGGTCTGCGTAGAACCGCTCACGATCTCTGGTCCGTATTACCGTTCGAGGTACTACGGTCTGGGCGTTTTGGTACTCCTCAACTAATTCTTTCCATCGGCTAACCAAAGGCTCGTCGATCGCTTGATCCCAACCGACAGAATGCTGCCAGAGGGACTGGACGAAAAGCCGAATGGATAGCGTGAAGGGCGCACTGAGTCCCAACGGATCAAAAATAGAAGCGGAAACCTGGTAAACTTGACGTTTAGTCAATGCTGGGCGTCGAGATGACTCTCCTCTACCTTTCTTCACTTTCGGCTTCAACTCTGGCACGCTGAGGGTATCTTCATCTTGATCCCAGGTCAAACCGAGTAGTTTCAGCTTACGCTTCTCTACCCGATCTTCCGG